ACCGTCCTTTGCTCGCAGTGTTGGATCCGCTCCGCTATCCATAAGCAGTTGCACCACTTCTATGAAACCATGTCTCGCAGCGTAATGTAATGGAGACCATCCCCTCTAATATCATCATTGATTTGGGTGTTGCAATGGTTGGGCAAATAACAGACAATCAAACATCAGTATAGTTTTATAGCATCGGTGGCGCCTTAAAGGCCACAAATGGGGGTATGGCTGTATGGGTACGGTTGTATGGGTACGGCTGTATGGGTACGGCTGTATGGGTACGGCTGTGCGCTCATGGGTTCAGAGGTTTAAAGGTGTCGTACTTTGGTATTGTACAACACTTGAACCGTTAATTTAGTTTTTTATACTGAAAATTGTAAGAACCGTCCTTTGCTCGCAGTGTTGGATCCGCTCCGCTATCCATAAGCAGTTGCACCACTTCTATGAAACCATGTCTCGCAGCGTAATGTAATGGAGACCATCCCCTCTAATATCATCATTGATTTGGGGGTTGCAATGGTTGGGCAAATAACAGACAATCAAACATCAGTATAGTTTTATAGCATCGGTGGCGCCTTAAAGGCCACAAATGGGGGTATGGCTGTATGGGTACGGCTGTATGGGTACGGCTGTGCGCTCATGGGTTCAGAGGTTTAAAGGTGTCGTACTTTGGTATTGTACAACACTTGAACCGTTAATTTAGTTTTTTATACTGAAAATTGTAAGCGCGCGCGAGTTTTGATAAATTGATAAAAAGATTTAATGATTGATGTTTGTATAGAAAGTTTTGATGTATAGCATCGGGCTATTGGATGTGTTAACGCACAAAATATATGGTTAATAATGAATTGCAAGATTGATAGACTGGTGCATACATTGTCCTGAGTGTTGATCTGAGCGCCCTGTCCTAACAGAAGGTTAACCATATCTCTGTGACCATAAGATGCGGCCAAATGAAGTGGTGTTCGGCCATATTTGTCGGATCGGTATAACTGTTCAGTAGTACGACTGATGAGAAGTCCAGCTACTAATAGATGTCCGCCCTGTGCCGCCAAATGCATTGGAATTGTTCCCTGAATTGTATTCATCCATTAGTAAAACAATATTGGCTTTGTATTACGGCTGATCCACAACTGACCACAACTTCTGTGGGCGCGTCAACTGTTACGCCCTGACTATTGAGTAACAAACGGACAACACTTTCGTGGCCAGACTGTGAGGCCAAATGCAAAGGAGTGATGCCATACTTTGGGAGAGATTGCAGTGATATAACAATGCGTACAACAGCGGGTGAGTGATGCTTACGTCACCGCTCGGGTCAATGAGTGGTCGTTCACTTTTGATGGTTGCCGGCACTTGTGTTAGCATTTCTCCTACGAAATCTGCCTGACCAAAAGCCGCCGCCACGTGCAACGCTGTCAATCCAATCTATCAGCACAACATCACAACACATTATCATTCATTCAATACCCTACCATTCATTACCATTTATTCAATTCTCTGCTATTCTACTCTATCATATCAATCAATTTATACACTTTTGTCACAATTACATTGTATACAGTTATAAACTTATTTTGCAATCACCATTCTGATCAACCACCATGATCAATTTTCATATATCATTATATGTTTTGTGTTTATTTGAACGTGATTTCAAAGCATGCCATTTAGAATAATTATAATGATGAAACAAAAATTGACAAATAATTCTCGTTAATTATTTTACCACAAAATTAATTAGTTTTAGATGTGAAACATTGATATGAGTTATAACTTATGAACGTAAGTAAAGTGTGAGTAAATAACAGGACAATTATAACGTAATAAGCTCTTAATGTGACATTATACGAAATATACAATGTCGATGAGAAGCATTAATGATGAAATTACCCTGGTTGTGATGTGTTGTACACTATTGCTTCGCAGAGGGTATGAATCGGGTAAATGAGGGTAAAATGATAATGTATTGTCTATGGGAGCATACAGTATAGGCTTTGCTAACTTTTTGATGCATTCTGTTGTACACTATTATGAGCACATAATCATTGATCCAATACTAACCCTCCGACTGCAGACTTTCCAGTGTGCGGTTGACTGTTCCTTAAGAGCACTCAATACCTTCACGTGACCATTCTTTGCCGCTAATCATCAATGCATTCAAATCAATGTTTAATGCAATTAGTGTGCGATTGAAGCAAACCTAAGTGCAAAGCTGTATATCCTTCGGCATTTTCATCGGTCGCTTTAGCCCCGGCCTGAAGCAACACCCGAACCACTTCCACGTGTCCGCCCTCTGCGGCTAAATGCAAAGTCGTTGACTTTGTTTTCTAAATTATACACTAATTATTAGTAAATGCATTGAAACACACCTTATTATACTACATACTAGTACTACATATTATACTACATATTGTAATATTATAATCATATAAAAGTACCGAAATTCTAGCGTTAATAACGGATTCTTGATTTAATCGCATTAATTCTTTAATAACGGCTACACTTCCCTTCGCAGCGGCGATATGAGCACAGGTATAGCCATTCTTGTTGGGAACCGATAGTCTCTCGGGATTGTGCTTCAGGAATAGTTTCAACACTTCCGAGTGGTCGTGTTCTGCAGCCAAATGTAACGGTGTTTGAGAGTGCTATCCAAACAGTGCAAACCGTTTCAGCTCATTTATGCACTTTTATACACTCAATCATTTAGTTGATCATAGCATACATTATCCGTGGCGTTCACATCGGCCTTCATTGTGAGCAACGTATTACACACTTCCAACTGTCCGTTCTCTGCCGCCAAATGCAGTGGAGTTTGTTTGGTCTGTCATTCAGTCAAATATGATAAACACAATTTACATTTCAAAGTACATTACAATTATAATTCCTCTCCTCCTGGTCTGTCATCTCAGATAATACCTCAACAAATAAAACAAAAAACAAATAAAATGATTCACTCTATCATACATCGGTTCACTCAAAATACAACTATTATTTTAATTGCGTTTAAAATAATAGTTTATAATTGAAAGACTGAAATGAAATATATAAATCTTAATACACTTAACATATACTGAACACTATATACTGAACATATACTGTAAATGGTTTATAAATTGTGATGAATTGCTGACCAAAGTGAAGGCGTCGAGAAGAGCTCCGTGTGAGAGCACCAACTGTTTGACAATTGAGTTGAAGCCCCGCCGGGCGGCCAAATGGAGAGGAGTCATACCATGTTTGTTCCTAACGTTCACAAAAGCATTGGATGCGAGCAATATGTCCACCACCTCCTCGTGTCCCAGTTCTGCCGCTATGTGAAGCGCCGCCTGACCTCTCTTTACGATTCATCATTTATTATTAGTAATCAATACATTTGTCATATTTAGAGAATTGCATTCAAGTTATATATAAAGACCCAAATAATCACTATAATAGTTGTGAAAAACAACCCAAATTGTTACTTGAATAGTTATTTATACAATTTTGAAATAATCGTATAAATCATTTTAAAATGTTAAAATTCGTAAGTTATAATGTTTAATGCACCAAATATAGCTCTATTCAGATCATTTACTTAAATGTAACGAATTTAATGAATAATTTATGTTGTGCTGTGCGATATTTCCTCACGAGTCAGATCAACCTTACAATTACGATACTTTTGGTAATTTAAATGTTTTGAATATAAAACATATAACCAAAATTTGTAATATTTCTCTTTCTTTACATTTATATTCAGTTCTGTTACTAAAACTTGCTTTTCTTTAATTTTATCAAATATTTCTTTTTTACGCTAAAAGTCACTCAATTTTACGAAATAGTTAAAATAGTTACGAACGCCTTAAACAATTAAATATAGTTAAAATATACTTTTGATAAACGAAGTATATTTTAGTTGCTCGTTAAAAGGAATTGCCTGATAATATTGATTTCATAGACCCGTAACATGAATAAGTTGTTAAATAACTATCATTCTTGTGAATTCCCTTCTGTTTTATCTTTACTTAAATATATGCCAATAAAATTGCCGATAAATGGTTGACCGAATATTTGACATATTATGTGCTTAATCTCTAAATACAGTATAAGCTTAATGTTACAAATTATTTGAGAAGCTCTTTCCTTAAAGGTATTTATGAATACATTTGTAGATTTTACATGTTAGTTGCCTTATTAATGGACTAGGGTAATTCGTGAAAATACCTGTCAAAACTCGAATATTGTAATTTTATAAATGTATGAATGTTATCATACATGACATCCTGAATATTGTCGATGTATGGCATAATAGAGTAGTAAAAAGTGATGAATACCTCATCGAAGACATCGACCCTTGCGTTCTGATTGAGAAGCATTCGTATGATGTCTGGGTGTCCGTGAGAGCACGCGTAGAATAATGGCGGCCATCCATTCTAACCATCATCAATGATTCATTCAAATATATTAATTCTTTCATTGCAATACACTAAATATAGATCATATTTTACATAGCCATTCACGATTGATCATGCATTATTTAAATTGTTATGTTAGGGTTTGGTCATATAGCATATACTGTATACATTTGCAATTCTTAACTAATATAAATTCTTTACAATGTATAAATTTACAATATAACAAATCTAATAATTTACGATAAAATTTAAAAACGATAAGAAATTTTATTATTATATTCTTTAACTAAATTGATAAAAAAATTTGTGCATTTACATGAAATTAATTTAAAAATTTTAATGTAATGCATTAAATGTAAAGATATTTGTTCGTACCTTTGCCTGTTTATTACATGCTATTTGAGCATCCATTGGTTGTAAAAGGCTTATAATTTCCTGCATTGTATTAGTATTTCCAGACTTTGAACACCAATGTACAGGATTTTCACCTTTCTGTTAACAATAAAGTTCTAAATTATAATTAAAAGTAATGATTAGATTAATTGTTATTGAAAACAAACCTCAGATGTTTCGAGCAAAGGGTTGCCTCCAGTCTGTAGTAAAAGTCGCATCAAATCTCTGTCTTCATTGACATAGTGGGCATTTTTGGACAGCAGGTTTGCGCCGTAATGCACACAACTCTCCCCATTCTGGTTGAATAAATAAATGCATTTCTGATTAATAATTAAATTAATATAGCTTATATTGGGGTCTCACTTTATTGGGTTGATTAACCAATTTTTTGGCATCATCTTTGCTTGAAGTTTCTATCATGTATTGAATTATATTTTCTACTATAGGGTAGTGGCAGTCCTTAACCGATATATGCAATGCATTTTCTCCGGTATTGTTCTGAAGGGCAGGATTTGCTTTATCTTCAAGTAATAATTTGATGGTTTGTAAAAATCCCTGACGAGCGGCGAAATGTAGCGGAGTTTCACCATTCTTTGTGTAATTATATTTATATATAAAATATATTAATTTGTAAAATATATAGTAAATTATAATTTTACGTCTTCGCAAGCATTGATTTGTGCACCACTTTTGATAAGCATTTCGACACACTTTATACCATTGGGTATTCTGGAAGCCGTATGTAAAGGTGTTTCGCCATTCTTGCCAGCAGTCAATTGAACGGCTGCTCCCATTCCAAGCAATACTTCAACAACTTTTTCGTGACCCGATTGGACGGCGATATGAAGAGCTGTGAATCCCTCCTAACCATCATTTCAATACATTTGTTAACAATTCAAATATATTGTCACTTCTTTCACTAACATTGGTCTTTGCGTCAACACTCTCTCCTTTTTGTACAATGGATTTGACAACTTCTGTGTGACCCCGACTCGCCGCCATGTGAATGGGTTTTGCACCAGCCTATTAGCAGCAACACTATTAATCGCCCTTATTCGTCTAGTATTTTACTAATATATAATTTTACTATATTTTGTGTATAAACATTTATATATGTGTACATTATAACAGTTAATAATTTTTATCATTACTTAAGAAAACATTTGATAAGTTTTAGTTTTAATTTTATAGATTTATATACAGTATATTTGATTTATTTATGTCTGTAATGTATAGACACGTCCGCACAGAATATTAGTTTCAATTGAGTGCACGACGTCTTAAAACAACAATAAATTCAAATTCAATTCAAATTATTAATAATAACTTATTACTGTATAAAACTGTACTGTATTTGTTATCATTATGTTATTAAAGAATTGCATTATTTATTATAACTCATTATATCTTAAAACAACAATAAATTCAAATTCAATTCAAATTATTAATAATAACTTATTACTGTATAAAACTGTACTGTATTTGTTATCATTATGTTATTAAAGAATTGCATTATTTATTATAACTCATTATTAGGCTCCGAACTTTTCTGCTGCTTATAAGTAGTGCTAAAAATCAAGCTCTGGGACAAATTGTAATTTACGACAATTACTGTGATTCAATCGGACCTGTACTAAAATTGTTTAAACCAAATTATTATATGATATTAGCTGAAGCTATAAAATATTATAAAATACTAAAACAAGTGTAATATAAATTATTAATTTAATATAATTTTATAAATTATGATTTGTCCCAAAGTTTGATTTTTTGCACAACTCATAAAAATGAATAAATAGCAGAAAAGTTCGGAGCTTACTCATTATTAAGCCAACCAGTCATGAGTTTTATGTATATTGCAGTATGAGTCAATTATGTATTTTTATGACAAATGCAACAATTCAACCCTAACAGACATATTAATAAATATTCCTTCACACTATAATATATATAAAATAGCCGGAAAGTAGCCGGAACGCGGTTGCTCTACTCATTATAACTTATAATTTATAAGTAAAGTCATACAGATGTATGGATGTGTAAGTCAATAATATTGCAGCATTTATTATAATAATAAACTAAATCTTTAAATAATATAACAAAAACTATTTATTAACATTAGTTTGTCAGTAGTTTTATAAAATAATCACTGCATTCATTACTAAATCATATTTTTCAATAAATAATAGGGGAAAAAGATCTTATCATAGAATAAAATATATTATTTAATGCAAAAGATTAGAATCAATTGTTGTTGGAATCAATTGGAGTTCTCCTAATTTAAACCTCAATTATTGTTTTGCTTTAACCCCATTGAGCCCATTAACCTCATTAACCCGTAATACATCACTTTGTAAATGATAAACATAAAACAAATTATTAAATAATGTAAAATAGACAAATTATATTAATCTACAGTTATGTTAATAATATTTAAATGAAAAGAATAATTAATTTTTCATCTTTGTCACTTTTATGCATAGTATCGTTACAGTATGACTACGGTATATTATTAATATAAACTTATAATATACAGATAATATGGTAAAAATAATATGAATTAAAATGAACAAATACTTTGTTGGGCATGTGTAAAGCAACGCCTTTTTTCATAAACACCAAAGCAGTTCCCGGATGACCCGCAGCAGATGCCAAATGCATTAAAGTACTTCCATCCTGTA